TAATAATAATGATAATAATAATAATAATAATAATAATAATAATAAACATTTTGAAGGACTACAGTATTGTGGAATGAGCTGTAAAACACACAAAAAAGTGGTTCACCTTTCATTTGTAAATACTGTGAAAGTACACATCTCTGTAGGATGAGCGTTTGAAAAATAAGTTATTTGCGTACTCTGGATTCATGAACATGCATTGCGTATTCTGCGTATTATTTGCAATAATTTACAGTCGTAGATTTACAGTCGGGAGGGAGTGACGCAGGGTGGCGCTTACGTACTCTTACGCACAAGTTTTCCGTGTCTTTCACTTTCCAGTTTGAGGAAATATGAAAAAAACGTCGAAACTTTTTTGACGAAAGAAAAGAGGCGGACAGATAATTATTTTCGTGGTACAAACGCAGCTGACACACAGCGCAGTACGCGAATAGCAGAATGTAAGTTAAGCTAACCTGTTATGTTATCCAAATTTAGCTAGCACTATCATTTCAGCTCTCCTGAACGTGTTAACAGGTATAAGTGTTTCATAAAGTTCATAATTRTTTGTTATCCTGCTTCATATAAATATACTACCAGCTGTGGTGGGAAAAGTAGGAAATGAACTTGAGACTACGTCAATGTAGAAAGTCATACTGTTAAAAAATACATTGTTTTGTGGTAAATGTGTGTAAATGTAGATGGCTGGAGAACCTGCTGAGCCCGTTGAACTTGGTCGTGAGGTTGAAGAAGAAAACCCAGCGGGAGATGAACTTGATGCCAGACCTGACCGCAAAGGGAGATTTCTGCTGTTTGGGAGGTAAAAATGATCTAATGTGTCCAGATRAATTCATATAAGAGTGACACAAACTCACATGGCAACCTGGACTAAAATAAGCTTAAATAAAAATGTTTAGTCGTTGCTTCTAGTTTTCATCTTTAATGTTTTGCTGATCTTATTTGATGAGGGAAAAGTATAAAAAAACACAGCAGTCAGACTAACTATTGCAAAAACAGTGCTGAGAAGAAGTGAATGATAAACAGAAGCTAATTATTATGAACCAATGGCTCAGTAATTCACTGGAGTGTGGCGCCATCTGGTGGTCAACCTTAAACATCACAGTTGCATGAAACTAACAAAGGTTAAACAGTATGTACATAATAATAATTTTGACAGTTTTTTTAAGACAATATTAATAATTACTTGTGTTACAATGAGATTGTGCCATCATAAAATACTGTATGTAATAGAGGGTGGATGGAGAAAGGTTTCAGCAATGATATGTGACAAAAGGATGGCACCAAAGGTAAAAGGAAACATTTACTAGAGGGTAGTGAGACCAGCTATGTGGAGATATTGGCACTGAAAAAAAAAAGGACAGGAGACAGAGCTGAAAGAAGTAGAGCCGAAGACGTCGAGGTACAGAGGTACAGCACAGGTTCAATGACTGGGAGATAAAGTTAGAGTTAGAGAGGCCAGAGTGAGGTGGTTTCGACATGTCCAGGGGTCTCATTTATAAAGGATTGCGTGGAAACCATACTAAAAGTGAACGTACGGCCAAAAGGCAGAAATGGCGTACGCCAAAARAAAATTCAGATTTATAAAACCGTGCGTACGCACGTTTCTGAGCACCTTTCCTTTATGAATCACAGCTGCACGTCAGAGTTTGCGCACGAGGTCCCGCCTCAGGTTCTACCCTCTACACGCCCACACTCAACCATAAACAGTCAATGTAAAGTACCTCATGAATGTTAAGATGTATTTAAATCAGTCAGCTGATCAATGCCAACAAAAGTGATTGGTTCAGACACGCTCCGTCGTGTGTCTGGAGGTTGACAGGTGCTGACTGACAGCTGCTCACGTGAACAGAATGTCTGTAATTAACACAGATTTTCCCTCATTTTGCTTTAGAGTAATCTAACGATTTTTATTAATAAAAAAATACTCAGCTTCAAATTTTTTTCCATCAGAGCCTGCAGGACGATAAAAACAATAAAAATAAAATTAAATAAGTC